ATTCACTAAACCACTTCCTAGAGATAGACTTAATATGCTTAGGACTGAATTAGGAATTCTAGATATATCTAGTATTGTATAACTGATTCTTTATAGTAATTGTATGTCTTTTAACAGGCTGATAACAAGTTCAATCGATTAATAATTGCATGAATAACTTGATATTATTTGTTTTAATCGATTGAAACTTGTGAAATAATCTGTTGATTTCCTGTTTCTTACTCTCGGTATTGATATGTTATTAGTTCAATCGATTAGATACGCTTTTAATCGATTTATTTCACTAACCCTGTAGCTCTACAAATTTTCTTCTATAAATCAATCGATTAAATCTTCGATTCAATCGATTGAATTCACTAATGGTACTTTGCTTAATTTTCCTTTGCAAAAACAATCGATTTATTCATCGATTCAATTGGTTTATTTCACTTATGAATTTCTCGAAGTGCGAAATCAATTGGTTACAGGAAAAATCAATTGATTAATTGAAATTAAATGAATTGGCTCGCACACAAAGTAATTTCTGCAGATTAGGTTGAACTCATTTACAATGAGATAAAATCTCAACCACTTCCTTTAATACTGATCGACTTCGATTGGATACATACCGCGAAGGTAATTAAGTGTTTTCGTATCAAACTCTTCTCTCTCCACCTTTATCATCACTCGTGCAAGATCACAAAAAGACTAAAGACAAAATCCTGAAGTCGAACGATTTCGTATTCCTATTTCCTTAACTTGAACTCTTTCTTTCTCGCTTCCTTCTGTTTTGCTCATCAAGCATGTTCAAACGATCGAAGTCCGGAAGAAAGAAATCAAGCAGGGCGAGTCGTCTTCTGTTCGGCAGGAACAAAATGTTGAAGGAAGGATTGAGACTTGGTTCAACGGGGACCAAGAGCAAATGAATCTGTTTATCCATGAGTTGAGCGAGAAAACAAGTCAACATACCAAAGCTGTTAAAGTTTTCCTGGTTTGATGCTTGAAGGATTTAGAGGCATCGAAAGCCGCTGCAACATCAAAAGCCTCTGAAGTTTCGGAGTTGGACTGTAGGATTTATCCCGACTTGATCAAAGTTTTCTTCACAAATTTGTCCTTTGAAGGTTCCACCATGAAAACCCAAGTTAAAGGTGTGGACATTGAGATTACTCCTAACATCCGGAAGGAGGTTGCCTGGTTTAAAGGATTTAGGAGTGAAAGTCACCAAAGGGTGTACTTCGATGTGGAGGAATTTAATAAGGTTCAATATTTTCGGTCATGCATGAAGAATAGGCATGACTCGTCAGCTCGTTCAATACCGGGAAACTAAAATTGGAAGAAAGGTTGCTTGCCCGCATTGTGTCTTGGCAGCTCACTCCGAGGGGGAGCAATCATGCGTGCTAAATGAGGGAGATTTAGTACTAATGTATTGCATTCACCACAGATTCGGGTAAACTGGGTTTTTGTCATCAAAGACCACATGATCAAGGCAAAAAGACTCGGTGATTTCAGGTACCCCTATGCCATACCGATTTCCAAACTTTTAACATATTTTGGTGTTGATCTTGAAGGAGAACTTGTCGAGACAGTTCGTTCAACAAACGAAATAAATAACTCTATGCTTCACAAAATGGGATTTATGAAAGTTGATGGTGAGTGGGTCTCCAAGGAGGATGCTCGGAAGAGATGAAGAAAGTGATGAAGATGGACAAGAGGAAGAAAATATCAACACCGATATTCCCGGCACTTCTAGAGCTCATCCATCCGATCCTATGGAAGAAGTGATCCCGTCTGGAGATGATTCCATATAATTCACCCCCGACCGTGGCACACCTCTCGTCACAGCTTGAAAGAACAATGTCTGCAAGCAAATAAATCAACTTCAAGCTGATCAAAGGAGGCATATGAATATGACTACAGCCTATAAGGGCTCGACAAAGCACTATTTGGATGAGAATTTTATTGCAAGGTTCCAAGCACATCGATAATCAACTTGAAGACATTTACAACAGTAATTGTGGAAATACAATTCAACCCAGGTCCCGGAGATGATTGAAGTTTACTCGATCAATGTCTCGCTGATAATTCTGCTTTTTTTTCTTTTCTTAGTTGGTTTTATATTCTCGCTTTTTATTTGGGGGTTCCCAAGTGGCCCCATTGGACTCGTATCCATGACAATCTATTTGATGCAATCAAATAGGGGGAGAATTATTTTGATTAAAACCGCCACTACACACACACCACATCACAAAATATATGTCTCCGGTATGCATGTCTCTCGGTCCGATTTTATGCAGGTGCAGTGGTTATTTGTCTCCATCAAATAGGGGAGATTGAAGCACTTGGTGGACTTGGTGGATTTGATGAAGACTTAGATATAATTTGATGAAGACATAAATTTAGTTTAGGTTGTGGGTGTGTAGATGATTAGGTTTTTAACTTGAGCACTTAATCCCTTGATAGGCCATTATATGTTGTGATGAAGCGCCTTAATCTTCTCGCATAGCATTGAAAATCATTTTCTCGCATTAAAAGAACAAACTAAGTTTTTCAATCTGTTGAAAAAGATTTTCAATCGGTTAAAATCACTTAACGAATAAGTGGTTCTATATAATCGTATTTTCAATTGATTGATTCGCAGAATCAACAAGTTAAAATAACTTAGTAAATTTCTCAATATGAAGGTTTCTGAAAAACAATCAATTGAAATACTTTTTAATCTGTTGAAAAAGAAAGATATTTTTCAATCTAAGAGTTTTCGGAAAACAATCAGCTTAAAACGTTTTTCAATCTGTTAAAATAAAGATATTTTTTAAGTCTAAATGTTTTCGAAAAACAATATGTTGAAATGGTTTTCAACCCGTTGAAACAGAAAGTCATTTTCGAAGTCTTAAAAGTCTGCAGGATTTCAATCAGCTTGAAATGTTTTTTAATCGGTTGAAACAGAGAGCTATTATTTTTCATAAAGTCGTTTCAATCCATTGAAAACTCGAAACAATCGATTGAATGAACCTTTAAGTGAAATCAATCGATTGAATCGCGGTTTCAATCAGCTTGAAATATATTCTGATCGATCATAGTTTAAATATAATCGATCATAATTCAGTCTAATTGATTATTCTTCTATTCTAATCGGCAGTAATCACTTTTTATCTGATATACTTCAAATTTAATCGATTGTTTTTCTCTCTCGTAACAGATTTTGATAGAGAACACGTACTCGAAACTTTGTTTTACTCTATATAAACAAGTATTGATCTATCTTTCAAAAAATATATACAACACACTACTTGAGAAAACTTGAGAAATCAATCTCGTGAATCGTTCATCTACGTTTTTCTCTCGCATTCAAGATTTTGTCATATCATAAGGTGCTTTGATCAACATTGTGGTCATTCACAGCGAGAGAGTGCTTTAGAATTGGTGCTCGGGCAATTAGAATTCAAAGTCCAGGTTTCTTCTTTCCTTATTCTTTTGTATCGTGTGAATTGTGTAGATTGGATTGTAATCTACACTTGGTACAAGAACTCGGATTTGGTTATCGGGTGTTTTTCAAGATTCTATCTTATAGGTTGAAAAGATAGTTCTTGGTGTAGATTGGTGAGGATCTACGGGTTGTAATTGTCACTTGGTATTAGTGAAAACTTGACAGGTTTTGTCAAGAACTCGGACGTAGCTCTGGATTAGAGTGAACCAGTATAAATTTGTGTGTTGATTTCTTTCTATCATCTCTTTTAAATTCTGAATATAAGCTTGCTGTGTTTTAAATCAAATCATCTTTTCAAGAATTGAATAAAGATAACTCATTCTTCCAAAAGAAAGTAAAGTTTTGCGAAAAAGTTTTTTAAGTTCAATTCACCCCCCCTCTTGAACTCAACCATTAATTCTTTCATGGATACCATAAACCAAAACCTGTAGTTCCTTTTAAATATTTTAAAATTCTTTTTACTGCAGTTAAATGAGATTCTTTTGGACATGCTTGAAATCTAGCACACACACAAATAGAATGCATAATATCAGGTCTACTTGCAGTTAAGTATAATAGTGAACCTATCATACCTCTATACATAGATTGATTAATTTCCAAACTTGATTCATCCTTGTCTAAATAGCATGAAGTTCCCATGGGTGTGTTAGCTTCCTTTGAAGTGTCCATTCCAAATTTCTTGAGAATCTCTTTGCAGTATTTGGTTTGAGAGACAAAAATGCCATCTTTAAGTTGTTTGATTTGAAGTCCAAGGAAGAATGTTAATTCTCCCATCATTGACATTTCAAATTCTCCCTGCATTATCTTAGCAAATTCTACACACAAGGAATTATCAGTTGATCCAAAAATGATATCATCAACATATACTTGAACTAATAAGATATGTTCTTTTACTTTCTTAATAAACAAAGTGGAATCAATTTTTCCTCTAGAAAAATCATTTGAAGTTAGAAAACTAATTAATCTTTCATACCAAGATCTAGGAGCTTGTTCAAACCATATAACGCTTTGACTACAAGAAAAATTGTGATTACCTACAGCACAAATCCGTATGTAAGCAAGAAAATCCGTAGATAAATTTAGATTACCTACGGACAAAATCCATAGGTAAATCCCTCGTAGGTAATAATTACCTACGAATTTTCAATATCCGTAGGTAATTACCTACAGATATATCCGTAGGTAATATCCGCATGTAATTAATTACCTACGGATGTATTCGTATGTAATATTCGCAGGTAATTACCTACGGATATATCCGTAGGTAATTACCTACGGATATATCTGTAGGTAATTACCTGCGGATATATCCATAGGTAATTGAAGTATCTACTACTCTCCATTCTTTTTGCATTATTCTGATTGCATTGACCTAGACATTAAATGATATATAAAATTATCTAGATACACAAGTTCATAACCAGAAAAAATAAAATGATATATAAAATAACATAACAATTTATTGTTCCAATACAAAATAAAAACGTCAAATATATGCAAATATAATGAAACATATCCAATAGAATTTTGTAAAATGCTAATAATCCATATAATCATCATCTGCATCCTTCTGTTGATCTTGATTTTGTTGTTCGGTATTTGGTTCTGCAACCTTCTCTTGATCTCCATTGTCTTGATTAATTAGTTGTTGCAAAATGTTTTGTGCTGCCGCTACTGCTGGAGGTGGTAAGTATTGAAGGACTACGCCAATGAATGCCTGGATGGACTCAAACTGGGAGCTCATCATACGAATCTTTTCCTCACTACTTTCCAATCGTTGCTCACTACTTTCCAGTCGTTGTGTCAGTTGACTAATGTTATGTGAATCAGCTTTCTGACTGGAGCACACTTCTGTCTGTTGTAGATAACTTTCAACACAATCATCACTAGAGTCAACATGACCAACTCCATACACGCGTCCCTTATACCTTCCTCTTGCAGCATCTAACCAACATATATTCCTTAGCCTTTCCTCTTCAATAGGGTCTAGGGGAGTGCATTGTGAAACACCCACATTAGAAGTTGACTCAGACAATACTCGAGAATATCTACTCTCAAAGTCTTCATGTTCAAACAACACAATTTGTACATGTGTCTTTTAAATAATAAAAAACTTTAAGATTTAATGAAAGAAACTCACATGTGTCTGCCTAGACCTATCATCGACGAATTCGCCAGTACTCTTTCTTATATGCGTTTGTTGAAAAACTTCATCCACATGGACTGAGCGACCGAGCTCCTCTGTCTAAATAAAAAAACATAACATATGTCTTTACCAAATAATTGTTACATCATAAATGAATGATAAAAAATATTTAAAAATTCATACCAAACGAATGGCGTGTTCGTGCACACTAATTGATCCGCCAGTGTGCAAACTTCCCCCTTTATCAGATGCCCGATTTTTCTTTGTTGTATCACATTTTGATCGATATAGAGGCATGTTCCACTGTTCCAAAGGTTATTCCATATATTATTTCCAATCCAATCAGGCTTCTTGCCTTCTCTTCTAGCCTCTTTAAACATCTCTTATGTGAAGCCTTGGAGTGGAAATTTTTCTTAATTCTTTCCTCATCCTCAGATCTCCATGTCACCTTCCTCTGTAAAACATAGTGACCATTTCCAACCTGGTTATTTTGATTCAGATTTTTGAAATAGAAAACAAAAGGAAAATGAGAATGTAAAACATTTTTTCATATCAAACAGGCCCTTTGAACTTATCCTAAAATCTGGGCAAAGATGCATTTGTCATGGCAAAAGCTTTTTTCATATCAAACATTAATCAGTAAAGTGTCATTTACAACATCATCAAAGGTTGCTGAAATCAGCAACAAAATTGGCTGCAACAGTGACAATCCAGCATATAATGAATGATCACAAAAATATTGAAAAGGTACAAATATAGTAGAATATAATAGCCTTACAATCCACCATATAACACCAACAATATCACCTTAAAATGATGCAGTATATAACACCAACAAAAAAGGAAACTTCATATTCATTTTATCAGCCTAGTGGTCTATTTGCAGAATAAATTACCTTAAATCTTTGGAAAAAAAAATCTCGATCAGCCTTAGGGATTGCCCCCCATGTTAGCCATTGTTCACCAAATTGTTGTTTAATGGTGGATGTGATTGCCTTTGATGCAATTTTTGATGGATAAAACCTAAACACAAAAATAAAGTCATAACATGAAATGGTAGTAAAACCTAAACACAAAATATAAAGTCATAATTTTTAATGGATACTTACCCTCCTCCAACAGGTCGAATCATAGGACGATCACCAACTGAGGGCACCTCCTCCTCTGAATGCAGTACATTCTCTTCATCTTGCACATGATTATGATTAACTGCTGAAGTTGAATGTGTCCCTGGAATATGTGTAGATGGTGATGTTGCAACAGGTTCAATAGGGGTTGATGCATTAGAAGCAATTACGGGGGAAGGGGTGGATTGATAGACTGGTGGTGTGGATCCAACAATAGGGGGTGGTGATGGTGTTGATCCACCAACATTTGCTCCTGTGTTGTGGTCACGATACCTTGGCTTATGAAAAAATTTGCATTCAAGTAATGCCCCATCATGCTTGCTGTAGACCCCAAATCTTGCCCGACCTCCAAATAAAGACCAGAAGACCTCCTATTTGAAGATGGACAAGCCTAACAAGCCATTAGGAGAGACTATTAGGCCCCATACTAGGATAGGAGGGAGTTTCTGTACCAAAAAATAAGTTTTCTCGCTTTGAAGGGACGAGACTGCCTTCTGGACAACCCAGACCGCCGTCTCGCTTCACGTAGGAGGTGAGACCGCCGTCTCGCTTAACGAGACGGCGGTCTCGCCACCTACAAAGGACGAGACGGAGGTCTCGTTCACCCAGACGGTGGTCTCGCCATTTTGACAGGTCGAGACGGCGGTCTCGTTGGATGAGACGGCGATCTCGACCCTGTCAGACGAGACCGACGGTCTCGCCACCTGACAGCGCGAAAACCTATAAATAGGGGCTCTCCCCCCCTCATTTCCACACACCACAGCTGCATAGCTCTCCCTTCTCTCTAAAAACTTCTCTCTAGAATCCCTCCGACGCATTTCCGGAGCTTCTGAGTGCTTTCAAGAGTGATTTTCGGCGTTCGAGAGGTTTTCCGACGTCTTGTAGAGTGAAGGGCTGTCATAAAGCACCCTATTTTTTTAGAGAATTAATATAAAAAGCGTGCTTCGGAGGTTCAAATTCTCTCCCTTCACCTTTACCGTTTTTATCTTGAATTATGCAATAGATATTAGGGCCATGTAGTCATACTTTTAAATTCCGCAGAATAAAAAGGGCGAAAGTGTATTTTTCTAGTTTATCAATAAAATAAGTCGGCTCGTCATAGGGAACCCGAAGGGGCGTCGTAAAGGGACTAATACTCCCTTTACACGTAACCAACTCCCTTACCCAACTCCGGTTCTAATGACCGAAGTTGGTTTTCGAAAACCAACGCCTTTTAAAACCCCTTTCCGATGTTTCCGTAGAAACATCGGTGGCGACTCCATAGAACCCAAAATAAATAAGTCCTTGGGTTAGCCCGGTTATCGGACAACCCAAAGACACTTTTCGAAAACCTCGCCCTTAGGTAAGCCCGGTTATCGGACAACCTAAAGGCGTTGTAACTACCCATAAAAATGCGAAAATCAAAGAGGGTCAAAATAACCATCGTGTCGCTCCGACCGCGCCCCCGTTTTCAGGGAGGCAGCGACAGATGGCGACTCCACTGGGGAAGCCTAGAGAGTTAATCCCATTTAGTGATGGGCCGACTTAAACAATAAATAAACCAAGAAAATAACACTTTTGCCCTTAACTTGTATTTATAACATGTTTATTGTTTGGCTTTAATAAATCTTTGATTGTTTATACTTGCAAATTGCTTGAAATATAAACTGCACACAATCCCTTGCACACAACAGTTCCCCCTATGAAAGAATTAATGGTTGAGTTCAAGAGGGGGGGTGAATTGAACTTAAAAAACTTTTTCGCAAAACTTTACTTTCTTTTGGAAGAATGAGTTATCTTTATTCAATTCTTGAAAAGATGATTTGATTTAAAACACAGCAAGCTTATATTCAGAATTTAAAAGAGATGATAGAAAGAAATCAACACACAAATTTATACCTGGTTCACTCTAATCCAGAAGCTACGTCCAGCTTCTTGACAAAACCTCGTCAAGTTTTCACTAATACCAAGTGACAATTACAACCCGTAGATCCTCACCAATCTACACCAAGAACTATCTTTTCAACCTATAAGATAGAATCTTGAAAAACACCCAAGTAACCAAATCCAAGTATCTGTACCAAGTGTAGATTACAATCCAATCTACACAATTCACACGATACAAAAGAATAAGGAAAGAAGAAACCTGGACTTTGAATTCTAATTGCCCAAGACCAATTCTAAAGCACTCTCTCGCTGTGAATGACCACAATGTTGATCAAAGCACCTTATGATATGACAAAATCTTGAATGCGAGAGAAAAACGTAGATGAACGATTCACAGATTGATTTCTCAAGTTTTCTCAAGTAGTGTGTTGTATATATTTTTTGAAAGATAGATCAATACTCGTTTATATAGAGTAAAACAAAGTTTCAGGACGTGTTCTCTATCAAAATCATGCTACGTAGAGAAAAACAATCGATTAAATTTGAAGTATATCAGATAAAAAGTGATTCTCGCCGATTAGAATAGAAGAATAATCAATTAGACTCGAATTATGATCAATTATATTTAAACTATGATCGATCAGAATATATTTCAACTGATTGAAACCGCGATTCAATCGATTGATTTCACTTAAAGGTTCATTCAATCGATTGTTTCGAGTTTTCAATGGATTGAAACAGACTTTATGAAAAATAATAGCTCTCTGTTTCAACCGATTAAAAAACATTTCAACTGATTGAAATCCTGCAGACTTTTAAGACTCGAAAATGACTTTCTGTTTCAACAAGTTGAAAACCATTTCAACATATTGTTTTTCCGAAAACATTTAGACTTAAAAAATATCTTTATTTTAACAGATTGAAAAACGTTTCAACCGATTGTTTTTCCGAAAACTCTTAGATTGAAAAATATCTTTCTTTTTCAACAGATTAAAAAGTATTTCAATTGATTGTTTTTCCGAAACCTTCATATTGAGAAATTTACTAAGTTATTTTAACTTGTTGATTCTCGCGAATCAATCAATTGAAAATACGATTATATAGAACCACTTATTCTCGTTAAGTGATTTTAACCGATTGAAAATCTTTTTCAACAGATTGAAAAACTTAGTTTGTTCTTTTAATGCAGAAAATGATTTTCAATGCTATGCGAAGATTAAGGCGCTTCATCACAACATATAATGGCCTATCAAGGGATTAAGTGCTCAAGTTATTAAGTGCTCAAGTTAAAAACCTAATCATCTACACACCCACAACCTAAACTAAATTTATGTCTTCATCAAATTATATCTAAGTCTTCATCAAATCCACCAAGTCCACCAAGTGCTTCAATCTCCCCTATTTGATGGAGACAAATAACCACCGCACCTGCATAAAATCGGACCGTAGACATGCATACCGAGACATATATTTTGTGATGTGGTGTGTGTGTAGTGGCAGTTTTAATCAAAATAATTCTCCCCCTATTTGACTCGCATCAAATAGATTGTCATGGATACAGTCCAATGGGGCCACTTGGGAACCCCCAAATAAAAAGCGTAATATAAAACCAACTAAGAAAAGAAAAAAACAGAATTATCAGCAGACATTGATCAGGAAACTTCAATCATCTCCGGACCTGGGTTGAATTGTATTTCCACAATTCTGTTGTAAATATCTTCAAGTTGATTATCGATGTGCTGGAACCTTGCAATAAAATTCTCATCCAAATAGTGTCTGTCGAGCCCTTATAGCTCGTAGTCATATTCATATGCCTCCTTTGATCAGCTTGAAGTTGATTCATTTGCTCGCAACATTGTTCTTTCAAACCGTGACAGAGGTGTGCCACGGTCAGGGGTGAATTATATGGAATCATCTCCAGTGGGATCACTTCTTCCATAGGATCAGATGGATGAGCTCTAGAAGTGCCAGGAATATCAGTGTTGATATTTTCTTCCTCTTGTCCATCTTCATCACTTTCTTCATCTCTTCCAAGATCCTCCTTGGAGACCCACTCACCATCAACTTTCATAAATCCCATTTTGTGAAGCATAGAGTTATTTATTTCGTTTGTTGAACGGACCGTCTCGACAAGTTCTCCTTCAAGATCAACACCAAAATATGTTAAAAATTTGGAAATCGAGTATAGCATAGGGGTACCTGAAATCACCGAGTCTTTTTGCCTTGATCATGTGGTCTTTGATGACAAAAACCCAGCTTACCCGAATCTCGTGGTGAATGCAATACATTAGTACTAAATCTCCCTCATTTAGCACCGCATGATTGCTCCCCTCGGAGTGAGCCGCCAAGACACAATGCAGGCAAGCAACCTTTCTTCCAATTTTAGTTTCCCAGCATTGAACGAGCTGACAGAGTCATGCCTATTCTTCATGCATGACCGAAAATATTGAACCTTATTAAATTCTTCCACATCGAAGTACACCCTTTGGTGACTTTCACTCCTAAATCCTTTAAACCAAGCAACCTCCTTCCAGATGTTAGGAGTAATCTCAATGTCCACACCTTTAACTTGGGTTTTCAAGGTGGAACCTTCAAAGGACAAATTTGTGAAGAAAACTTTGATCAACTCGGGATAAATCCTACCTTCCAACTCCGAAACTTCTGAAGCTTTTGATGTTGCAGCAGCTTTCTCGATGCCTCTAAATCCTTCAAGATCAAACCAGGAAAACTTTAACAGCTTTGGTATGTTGACTTGTTTTCTCGCTCAACTCATGGATAAACAGATTCATTTGCTCTTGGTCCCCGTTGAACCAAGTCTCAATCCTTCCTTCAACATTTTGTTCCTCGCCGAACGAAGACGACTCGCCCTCGCTTGATTTCTTTCTTCCAGACTTCGATCGTTTGAACATGCTTGATGAGCAAAACGAAAGGAACCGAGAAAGAAAGAGTTCAAGTTAAGGAAATAGGAATACGTAAATCGCTCGACTTCGGGATTTTGTCTTTAGTCTTTTTGTGATCTTGCACAGTGATGATAAAGGTGGAGAGAGAAGAGTTTGATACGTAAACACTTAATTACCTTCGCAGTATGTATCCAATCGTGAGTCAATCAAGTATTAAAGGAAGTGGTTGAGATTTTATCTCATTGTAAATGAGTTCAACCTAATCTGCAGAAATTACTTTGTGTGCAGAGCCAATTCATTTAATTTCAATTAATCAATTGATTTTTCCTGTAACCAATTGATTTCGCACTTCGCAGAAATTCATAAGTGAAATAAACCAATTGAATCGATGAATAAATCGATTGTTTTTGCAAAGGAAAATTAAGCAAAGTACCATTAGTGAATTCAATCGATTGAATCGAAGATTTAATCGATTGATTTATAGAAGAAAATTTGCAGAGCTACAGGGTTAGTGAAATAAATCGATTAAAAGCGTATCTAATCGATTGAAC